ATGTTGTGTCTGTGATTCTGTTCCTCTTTTCTCGCTCCTCGTTTATCACGATGATCACATTTTTCTCCGCTGGTTCTTCTCTTATTTCTCAAGAAGATAAATTCAGACCATGTGTGGACGAGGCCATGCACTGAATTCGTTCTGAGTTTTATGTTTTGAAGTGCACACTAGCGAAAAAAAAACTGTAAAAAAAATTATCCTATATTTTAACAGTAAAAGACTGTAAAAATGCTACAATAAAAATCTGTTAATTGATTAACTTTAAGTTCCCTCCCTATATACAGTGACAAACTGTGGTAGATCTAACAGGATATTTGATGTATTTTTACAAGTCAAGTCACCTTTATTTAATAGCGCTTTTAACAATACAGATTGTGTCAAAGCAGCTTTACAGTATCAAATAGGAAGATAGTGTGTCAATAATGCAAAAGTAAAGTAAAAAGTATTTACTGTAAAACAGTAAATATAAATTGAATGCAATGAAGATTTTAATGGATAAAAAACCATGCAATGAATTGTTATTATTAGAATTTATTTGAAAAGGAACCATGTGCAATTTCAACATAAATGTTACCATTTCATGCATTGTACCGAATTTAGCCAATGGCTAGTTTTCATCCGCGGTCCGTTGGCAGGTAATCGCTAACATAAAACAACATACAGTACAGTAAAACATACACATACATACAAATCTTATCAGAGCCAGAATAAAACAATAAATATTATTTACTGTAAACTATCCATATTATTCAGTACCATGGTTTATTTATGGCAGATACTTTTATTTATAGAACCATTAATTGCATTCAGTTTATGTATATTCATTTATAATAATATTAATAAAATTTACTTACAATACTTACGATTGTAATTTTAATTATAGTAATTTGTTATTTTATTATTTAGTAATTTATATTAAGTTATTTTACATTAATTTGTAGTAGTAATTTGAATATATTAATTAATTTAGTTATGGTCATTTATAATTGTAATTTTCATTTAGTTTAACTATTTATTTATTTGATATTATGATTATTTTATAATTTTTGTAAAAAAAATTGGAAAAAAACTGTTAATTGATTAGCATTAGGTTCCCTTACTATATAGAATGAAAAACTGTAATCGATTTAATGTGAAAATTCATATAATTTTACAGTAAAATGCTGTTCAATGTACAGTTTTTGGAAATCATCTTATAATTTATGATGGAAAAATATAAACGGACATGTTTCTTAGTTATTAGTTTCTTCTTGTTTCTTTTAGTATTTTCTCAGTTGTTACAAAACAGGATATAGTACATTGGTATATTAACATTGTATCCGTTAATAAAATGTTTTTACTGTAAATTTTAGTTCAATCTGTAACATTTCAAATATTTTTACCATATTTTTTTTTACAAGTTTTCTGGCAAGCACAGCTGCTGTTTTTTTTGCTGTAAATTTCTCTGTATTTTTTTATAGTGCAGCAGTCAAACATCAGGCTACACAGAACAAGTTCAACCCTGTTTTTAGTTACATTAGGATTATGATTTCAAAACACAGTAAACACACTGTGAAATAAGATCACCTGCGTGTGACTGTGTGTGAGTGTGAGTGTGCGTGCGTGCGTGCGTGTGTGTGTGTTTGATTGATGAACTCCATCAGAGAGAGCGAGAGGGAATGTGGTGAAGAGAGGAGCACAAAGAGCTGAGGGACAGTGATGGATGTGAGCTGATTGCGCTGTAGTTTGACACTCTCAGATTTGTCATAGTGTTTAATGAATGAGTGTGTGCTGTAGTTACTGTGTGTCTCACAGGCTCAGATCATTCACTTACACTGGGCTGCAGAACATCGATATTTCCTCAATGGTTGAGAAACACACTTGAATGAAGGACTTTCGCTCTGATGTTTTGCAGGTGTTGATGTGAATCTGAGACTGAAGTCAGTGTGTCTGTAGTTCTGAGTATTTGCTCTGACATAATGTCATTTAACATCTTTCTGTCATTAAACAGACCTGCTAAGCTTTCCTGGCAGGTGTGTGTGTGTGTTTTCCACAAACAAGCTGCTGGTTCTCAATTTGTCCCTTTTTTTGCCAATTTCCATTAATTTTAGTTCTGAAAAATCAGCTCTGACTCCTCAAACCTGCCAGGTTCATACCAGGAATGAGTGTCATCATTAGCGACTAGAAGCAGGTATCAGAATGACTCGAAACATACACTAAATGTTTTTAAAAAAGAAGTCTCTTTTGCTCACCAAGGCTGCATTTATTTGATCAAAAATACAGTAAAATTGTGAAATATTATTACAATTTAAAATAGCAGTTTTCTATGTGAATATCATGTTAAAATGTAATTTATTTCTGTGATGCGCAGCTGTATTTTCAGCATCATTACTCCAGTCTTCAGTGTCACATGATCTTCAGAAATCATTCTAATATGCTGATTTGCTGCTCAAGAAACATTTCTGATTATTATCAATATTGAAAACAGTTGTGCTGCACAATATTTTTGTGGAAGCTGTGATATATTTTATTTTCTGAGATTCACAGATGAACAGAAAGTTCAAAAGAACAGCATTTATTTGAAATAGACTGTTATTAGAAATGTCTTTGATGTCACTTTTGATCAACTTAATGCATCCGTGATGAATAAAAGTATTAATTTCTCTGACCCCAAACATTTGAGTGTACAACAAAACTAATCAGTATCAGTAACTATATCAGTACACTGAAAAAAAATGATTCATTGAATTTACTAATTTTTTTTAAGGTAAGTGGTTGCAATCAATTTATTTTAGCTACATTTAAATAAACAAATTTAGTTGTAGCTCAAATAAATTGTTTGCAACCACTTACCTTAAAAAAATGGAGTATAATTTTTTTCAGTGTAATTTTGGTTGTTGTCTTCTGTCAAATCACAGATTTTTTCATCCAAATTTTAGAATTTTTATTTTTAATAATCAAAGAACATTAAAATGTCCAGTTTTCTTGTTGTGATTAGAACGTTATTTAAAGGTTTATATAAAAAAAGCTTCTTAAATGTTTTACAAGTTTTATTTTCACCCAAAATATAACATTATTTAAATGTTCATTTTTAAATGTAATATTCTAAAAACGATTTCTTTCAACATTGAGAACGTTCATCAAGTACAAATAACATAAGGACATTTTAAGAATGTTGATTTCAGAACGTTTTCTCAACGTTATAAGAAGAATATAGTAATTCTAAAAAAGTAATAATAATGTCATGTGGATATTCAAAGAATGTTGTTTTTTGAAAGTTATAAGAACATGTATGACATTTACTGTGATAAGAACGATCCATAAACATAGCTTTGATAACGTTTTGTCCAAACATTTAAATAACATTTAAAAACCGCTTGTGAATGTTGTGAGAACTTTCTCTGTTAGCTGGGATCAAAGCTCATGATGAGATAAAAACACAGAATAACTTTTGATGTTAATTATGTTCTCAGATCTGGTGATGATTAAGTGTGTTTGTTCTCTTGAGTCTGTGTTTGGTCTGATTAAACTGTAACTCAACAGCACTGACTGCACTGCTGTAAGACGGCCAATTAGAGCTGATTTATGAGCTGACAGACGATGCGTTTGCGCTGCTGTTCTTAGCTCTTCTGCAGGTATTGAACAGGTTTTTGGGGTCAGATCCCAGCGTGACCTCTGCTGTGAGGGTTACAGTAGCACTGCTGAGCGTTCCTCTGTGGACTAGAGGTCAGAGGTCACACTCTCCTTGAGTCTGGACAGATACTTGATAGGCTGAACTTTATGATTTTCCAAAGCGCTGTTTCAGAATCTAGTTAGTGGCCTTGCAGTGCACTGCCTACATAGACAGCAGTCTTCTCGGGCAGTATCCTAAATGTAGTGATTAAACTAACAAAAATGTGTTATTTTTAGTATTATTTATATACAAGTTCAGTATTTATTAACATTTTGAATTAGCTTTTCTTTTTATATTTTCACTTTTAATTTTAGTTAAAGTTTTAGTAATTTTGTTATGTGCTTAGTTTTTTCCCCCCAAATATTTCTGTTTAGCTTTTTTTTTTTTAAGTTTGTCATCTAATATTAATTTTTTACTTTATTTCTACTTTATTTCTACTATTTCTACTATTCTAACTTCATTTCAATTAAGGAAACGATTTCTAATAGTTTTAGTTTCAGTAACTTTAAAAAAAAAATTCAGTTAGTTTCCAAGGAAACGTTTATTTGTACATTTTATTTTTGTTTGTTTGTATGTTTTAAGTTTAAGTTTTTCATCTGTTTTTATTTTATTTTATTTTAATTAAGGAAACGATTTCTAATAGTTTTAGTTTTAGTACATTTAATTTTAGTCTTTTTTTATACGTTTTTTATTTCAATTAGTTGCTAAGGCAACAATTCTGAGTTTTGTTTAATTTTTTTTAACTAATATTTATATTTTATTTTAATTCTACTTTATTTCAACTAAGGAAATTTTTTTTAATAGTTTTTAGTCATTTTAGTCCTTTAAATTAAACTTTTTTATTATTATTATTTCAGTTAATTGTCAAGGCAAAATTTTATTACGTTAGTTTTTCTTTTAATATTTATATTTATTTTATTTCTGTTTTATTTTTAATTAAGGAAATGATTTACAATAGTTTAACATTTTAGTAATTTTAGTACTTAAACTTATTTTATTTCAGTTAGTTGCCCAGGCATTTAAAAACATTTTTTTTTTTTTTTTAAGTTTAAGTTTGATTCAAGATTTCTATCACTTTGTCCACCATAATGAATGTTTGTTTTTTCACTAAGCATTGCCTTCTCTGCATAGACACGAGTCTGCCTTAATATTGGTCCGAAAGAAGGCGTCTTAAACTCTGAAACCTTCTTCAGTTTCCGAGCACACATCAAATGCTGATCTCATGTTTGTGAACGCCCCGCAGCTTTAGGTTTGCTGATGAATTAGCTGTTGTGTCTTGTTATTGGCTAGTAAATTGCTGGTTACTGTGTGTTTGTCAGGTTAATTAGCAGCTGGTGTGTTGGTGTCTGGCGGCCTGCGAGTGTTTGTTAGCTGAAGATGCCCACAGGGAAATTTACACGCTCCCTTCGGCTGCTGTTTTTCTTTTCTGTACGCAAAAATACAATGTCTGTAGAATCTGTCTGTTCCCTCTGGCAGAAGTCTGCTGTGTCTTTAAACGAATGCTAACAATACGGCTAATGTGAGTACATGGAAATGTAATGATTTGCAATAGGAAGAGCAATAATAACACTCACATATAATTACCAAGAATATGATTATAGCTACACTAGATAGATTTCACGTTTTTGGTTTGTACATGTAAACTGCTATATATATATATACAGGTGCCTCTCAAAAAATTAGAATATCGTGAAAAAGTTCTTTTTTTGTAACTTGTTTCAAAAAGTGAAACTTTCATATATTCTAGATTCATTACATGTAAAGTAAAACATTTCAAAAGTTTTTTTGTTTTAATTTTGATGAGTAGAGCTTACAGCTCATGAACGTAAAAAATCCAGTATCTCAAAATATTAGAATATTACCTAAGATCAATCAAAAAAAGGATTTGCAAAACAGAAAAGTTCAGTGTTCTTTAAAGTATGTTGATTTATGCATTAGCACAAACTCCAGCATCAGTGAGGTGTGGCATGGAAGCGATCAGCCTGTGGCACTGCTGAGGCACTATTGAGCCTTCAGCTCGTCTGTATTGTTGGATCGACTGTTTCTCATCTT